TTTAATCTAATGGGCAGCAACCGCGTAGATGTCAATTAAAATTTGCGACTCGTGTTCAAGTCACGAAAGACATGCACTCGGTAAAAGGTTTACTCGTGTGGAAGCAATCAAGCTATTTCTCATGAGAGGCACCTGTTGATTCCATACCAACTCCAACATTTGCCCATCTGCCATGCACATAACCCAAAGTACTAACACAAATGTGTTGAGATGGACATAAATCACCTTGTTACCACTGTTCCCACAGAAAGCTATCGGAGTCGGGACGAAGGTGGGGCTGGAGTGGGTCGAGGGTGGGTATGGGGATGGTCGTCATAAAACAACCCATTGGGTAATTAAATTTTGCAGTCCAATTCATTTCCACCACATATCGGTGTGGTCTCATGTGTAAACAGGCAAACCAGAAAATGAGACACCTCGCTAAAAACCAAACACCACTAGTTGTGCCCGCTCCTATCCAACAACACATTCTGCAATCGTATTCGGAGTAACTGCCTCATGTTTGCAATAGAAATGCGTCAACAGAAGGAGTGGTGAGATACTTCATAGGTCCATGTCAGGATGCCACATGTCCCCTGTCCCAAGTCGAATTGCATTTCGCGTAGGGCAAACAGGACGAAGGAAGCAGGGACCACTGATTCATAAATGCCTAATTAAAGACGTATCTTTGACAGGATTGTCAACGTCAGCAGTACTGCAGCGCCTAGGACCCTCCCCATGCACGACTTGCGGTGCACTAGGTTTCCGCCTTTGTACTCCCTTTCGCATCTGCATCCTCATCCACATCTGTTCAGTCACCTCATCCACTCCCATTTCAGCATTACCTTACTTAGTGTACATTCAGGTCTCTCTTGCGCCTGACACATTTTAGTCAAATCGTCAAGCAGGGGGCAACATTCCAACTCAGTTTCTTCACGCATCGTGTATCGCCGCATTCACCAATCCTCCCCACTAGATGATGTTTCCGACTATTCTCATTCTGTCGGATCTGACAGATAGTGGGAGATGCGCGTCGCTCAACATTCATCGTTCATTGCTCATCATTCTGCATGCACTGGTACCACACGATCACGATTGCTGCTTCAACTGCAGCCTCCCATTTCACATCCTCCCAATCGGCCATGTTATTGGCCCAATACTTCTTTACTGTGCCCTCCACCATTTCTCCGTCCTCTGAATTCCTTACATCACAACGCATTGGTCGGATCTGATGCATGTGTTTTGAGGTCGCCTGCTTCACGAAACCACTTCACCTCGATTTCTACATGGTGACGATTGACAATATGAAGGCTTGTTGACCAACCACGAGACACAGAAGTGATCAGACTACATGATTCTGATAATGAACTAAATGGAAGACGAT